ACGGTCCCCATCCGCACGATCCGGCACGATTCTTTTCTCGTTGAGGCCCCTATGCTTTTTATATTATGCATAGAGCGTTTCGTTAGATGGTCGCAAATTGCACTTACGATTAACAGCCCGCTATAAATAACCGATGATGGAGAGCGGCGGAGTTCGCGTGTCACTAGATACGCGTTACACGCGATGCACACGACGCGTCGCATCGAAACGTAGCGAATGGGAATGCAGAGTCGGTCAGAGTCGCGTCTCTGGCGCGCACAATCGTCGAACAAATTCCAACGTGTCATTCTGGCCGGTAGACAACAACGTCTCCGGCGTGCGCGCGTTCCTCTACGTACCCGTGGCCAGCGCCTCGCGTGCCGCAAACACGATTCACGGAAAGCGATTTTTCCCGGAGCCGAACGGGGGGTGGCTCGTTTCGCCTGCTCGCGGTTGCTTGTTGCGGCCAGATTGCATTTAGGAAGCCCCGTGAAAGCACGACGCAGCGTAAGTGCAACGCTGGCCATGTCGCTAGACGCTTGCGGTTGTCGTTGATGTACCGTCACTTTGCCTTAATTATACGTCTCCGCCTCTTAATTGCGAATTGTCTGGTAATTCGGCCCGGCGAGGATGCCCGTTCCTTATTGCAATTAATAATACTGTTAAGTGGGCGGCGTTCGGCCCAAGCGGCCGGGAGCTGTTCCTGGAATCGTTCGCAACATACCGAATAATTATAGATCCGCCACCGGGAACAGCCTTCGTACCAATTCGAACCTACGTACAGCGAAAGTATACATCGCGAGGTCGAAGCTCGTTACACAGGCTCGGACCCAGGAACCTCGGTCGCGTTTCTTTTCAACGGATTGACCTTAATTCACCGCGATCGATGGATCGGCCCCGAGCGCCGTTCATACCTGACTCGGTATCAGCCACGAGAACCGTCCGACCGATGAACGGAAGTGGCTACTTTGACCATCGAACTGAACCGTAACGCAGCCTTTCCGTGACTCCGTTCGCAGCGAGATCACCGATGCCACCGGGGATATATTTTCGGTGTGCAGTATTTAAAACAGTTGTTTCGTACCGAACACAATTACGCCGAGCTCCGGCCCGTGGCGAGGCCACATTTGGCGAGCGCTGGAGAAGAGACGCGACGCCACTGGGCCGGTGCCAATAAACGCATCTCTTGGCCGTGGTTTCTACTATACTTTTCCACGCAGACGCGCGTTGCTTAAGCCGCGATCGAGCGTAAAAGATGAGAGCGCCGGTGTTAGCAAACCGTACAACGTAATACCCGTTTCCGTTCTATTTTCAACGCGGACGGGCAACTTCCGAATTAAATCCGAATTTCAGTGTCGTAGCGACGCGCGAAGGTGGAGACCTCTGGCGAGCTCGCACGCAGGCTGCTGGTACCCTTTGTTTCCATCGATCTGGCCGATTTCGACCGCGAACACGGGGTGGAAAGAGAGCCGAGTGTTTCTCATATTTCAGTCGTTCGTTGTGACAGCGGCTAGACGGGGCCGAAACGTCGGTAGAATCGCGAGTCGGTTTAAATTAGGGAGTCTAGACGCCTCGGAAATACCACGTGGTCCGCGCGTCGTGCCGCATCCAGCCACTTCCAGTTCGAACGTTCGCGCCTCTAGCGCGTCCATTGACCATGGCTATCGCTTTGCCGGACAGTTCGAACGCTTTGTAATGCCCCAACGTTTTATACAACCCGACTAAACGTCCGATGGAATCCTTCTGATGTCCCCGTTCCCGTGAAATCGTTGTCACCGTCGTAAACGCGCATAGGTGGGCTTCTTCCTCTTCCTTTCTTCTCGAATATGATTTTGCCGTTCTGGCCCTTGCTCCTTCTCGATGCCTTGGCCAGGAATTCCGAGACTCCCCGACGTTTGAAGCTTCGGGTTCGCGTCGAGGTTATTCCACGAGGCTGTATAATCGCGGAGGAGTAGCCGAGGCTTCTTTAATGGTCGCTTTACTCGAGCATCCGAAGATAAAGATTATCTTTGGCATTCCGGCGAGTGTTGCTTCCTGAAAACGAAGACTCAGCTTGGCGGAAACTTTTTGCAATCGCTTTATCCGACGTTGAACTAGAACCGGCAACCGGAACGTCGTTGTTTCTCCGATTGTTCGCCTGGACTTTTAATTAACCCTTGCATCGGAATTCCATTAAATACCACGCTGGATGCGTCTAATTAAATCTGCAGCATTTCGGATTGCGCGAAAACGCTTGAATTTCATTTGGCCGGAAGTTTGGCTCGGTTAGAGCAACGCAATTAAGATGCAACCTGTTCGGCCAAGTTTTTCTAACCGGCGAGCTTTTGTTTCGGGCAGAAATGGCAATTCGAATCGAGCGCAATTAACTCGAGCCCAGCGCAATTTCGGTAGTCTCGGTGAATAGGACAGCGGTTCGAGTCCGAAGATCCGAGAGAAATTAATTTTTCCCTCGTTTCGATTCAGTCGTCGAGCATCGGGTCGAATAGTACGCGATAAATGGCAGCAAAAGGTGGAAGAAAAATGGAGAAACGTTAGGACACGAACGCACGCGATGAGCAATCGTTTCTAGGGATTTCCAGCGTAACGCGTATTCGCGTGACTGTGGACTACGGTTATCATCGTAGGCGTTCAAAGTCGATTACGAGTGTGACTCGTGGCTGACATTTTTGGAGTGTAGCAGACGGCACGAACGGCATCCTTGCGCGATCTGTAATTTTCTTCAATTAAAGACACAAAAGAACGTACACAGAAGCGCGTAACGATGGTAAGCCTCGATAGCGCACTTGTGTAACGCGGACGATGACTATCATCCGCATACGATACACGTACGGTTTTCAATTGGTTTATTAGCCCCGGATTAACGGAGATAGGGAATTAACCGTGATTCATACTCGAGTGAGCATCACTGCGCTAAAGAAACATAATTTTCCCCATAAATTTCGCGAGTTATTTTATCGAAAGCTGCAATCGACAGCAACGAAAATTCGAATACGAGATAACGGATATAAAAATATATCTTTACGACGATTATCCAACGTTCTATCGGTGATGACGGAGCCTAAACGGCAGCGTAATCGGGTATATCGAGCGCTCTTATTTTACCCAGGCTTGATAATCGCAACCAGGAAGTTAATAAAATAAATTAAACGGAATATTTATCGTACGGGAATAGAGGAAGAATTTATTCATGCCAACAGTTCTAAAACCACGGCCCATCCTGTTGCAGCAGCCGGTTCGAGGCCCTTCGTAAATTCATTAATGAAAAATTACGACGAAGGCAGTATAGTAGCTTCACTTTCCCCCATTCTGGGCTGGCGCGGCGTTGTCTCGTGGTCGGTGATACCCATCGGCGTCGCGTGGCGGCGCCGTGATCGCATGGCCGCCCTCAGTGTTCGCGAGCCTCGCTCGGTGTGTGTTTCGTGGCGCGGTCGTGGTCGTCGTTATTGCTCGTTCGTCTGGTCTCCGTTTGTTTTTACACGTTGCATCGGTGCAGTGGTAATTAATTCCGTCGCGAATCCGTCCCCGCGAGAGCCAGGCAGTCCGTCGTGTGTTCCGTGTCCACGCGAGTTCGCCTGTTTTTCACGAACATCCCAACGCGAGACGTTTCTCGCGTTTGTGTCTCTCTTGTGCGCGAGACCGAGAGAGCGTGTGTGTCAACTTTCGTGTGCGTGTTTTCACGTCGACGTCGGCGTCGCCGTTCTACCCGTCGCCGTTACAGCCTTCGCGATCGTCGTCGTCGTCGTCGTCGTGTTCTTCTCTCGTGCTAAGTTCGGAGTTGGTGGCATCGTGCCTCGCCGCGATTGTGCCTAGCCTGCATCGCGCTGTCTCGCTCCTACGTGCCTCTGTGCGTACGCGCGTAGTATGTGCTTCTGTGTTTATAATCGTTGCGTCCTTTCTCTCCGTCTCGCTCTCCTCTCACCTGCAGCTAGAAGGCACACAGGTGTCCCGTGAAGGAGTGGCGACGCCTGCCGCGAATCGTCACCGCTGTGATATTACGTCGAGAGAGCAGCTCTCGTGCTTCTCCGCGAATCTTGCCATCCGAAAACAGCCATCCACACTGCCCTGGAATCGTCGAGTACGTGTATCGCCGCGACGAGGCGTGTGTCCCGTGCGCCCACGAAATGCGTCTCACCGGCTCCTCTCTTCGCCACCATGCTGCTGCGCGGTGACATTATATACACGCCGTTTCGCCGATAAAACCGAATGTTTTCTGCGTGCGTCGTAACCGTCTACGTTCCTCGTTCCTACGATTACGTTTCCCTGCTCGGCGTACGTGCCGGATATTTGAGGTTACTCGCGTTAGCCGGCTTCGTGCCTCGAGCAAACATCGCGTACCAGCCTCGTTTATTGTATTTTACGTAACCGTGAGTGTCGTTTTGTTTCCACGTACCGCAGTCGCGAGATATTTTTCCTCCGGTCGCGCCAGTGCTGTCGTGTATCTCGACCTTCGGCGTCTCGCCGCGTTTTCAAACGGAGTACAGGTTAGGTTAAGTGCGAACGCTCCGTTCGGCCGGAGCGTACGATAACCTTGTTTCTCCGTCTCTTCGCGTAATATTTCGAAATATTTCGCGGCGGAAAAAGCAATCGGCCGTACCGTTCTCGGACGAATCGATACGACCAGAGCGATCGGAATGTTTCGGTAAACGCGCTCGCCTCGCGTCGTCGTGACATTCGAGAGGCACGGCCGAAGCGACGCGTCGAGTTTACGTTCGTTCGAATTACGCGAAAATAGTGGATAATCGCGACGATAGAGGGCCGGTGGAGCGCGATGAGAGATTTCGTGGGATGGCGGACACGATCGTTCGCGGCCTCTCCCGAACGACACAATGCACGCCATTCATGACAAGCAGTGCCATTAGCCAGAGAGTTAACGTTTTATCCTGTTCCTATTGCGCAGGACGATTCCGTGGAGCGTCGACCGAGCACGGAGTGTCTCGTGGCCGCCGCGAGAGAAAAAAAAAAAAAAAAAAA